AAAAAACAAATTGTATACATTACTAAGGATATGTGTTTGAAAAAAAAAAGAATACGTGTAAAGGCCTACTATGAAGACGTGTTAAAGATTGAGATGGTATGGCATAAAGGGGGTTGCTTAAAGGGATACAGGTATACGCGTAGTAGCACTCTGGTATTGTCGCAGAAGACGTGTTCTAAAATATAAAATAAAAATTCGCGACCAAAAAAATTACCATTGTCACTTGGCCAACAATTCACACCATTGTTCACAAGCTGCAGGCCATTTCCTCATTCATTGATCTGCTTCCATGACAGACACCGACAATGTCATAAAGCCCATTCGCTACCGCTTCAATTCCCATAATGCACAGCCCATGAAGCGACGAAAAACACGGGTCACTAAACCACCAAAGAAACCCGCTGCAGCAGCTGGACCTTCTGTACGAGAGACCACGCCGTCAAGGATAAACTTGTCTCAAAGTCTCACAAGCGGCAGTCGCACAACAGCTCCGTTAGGTGATTGTGTTCTCTTTTTCGCGCATCAGAATGAAGAGGAACGGGATGTTGGCATGTCACAAGCTCGATCATTAGGAGCACAGTTGGCGCAAAGTGCGAATGAAAGTACGCATGTTGTTCTTCATGTTCCACATCCAAACAAAAAACAACAGCAACAATTTCTCAGTTGGAGAGAAGAAGGGAAATGGGTCGTTTCATTGACGTGGGTACGTGCGTGTATGTCCACATGGTCCCATCAAGCAGAGTTCAACTACCCTCCGGGACGCGGAGATCATTCTTTGGTTACCGGTGACCAGCAACGCCATACAATTAGTATTAACCCCTTCCACCACCATGAACCGCCACCTGCTGCAGAGGATGAGTTGGAGCACCAATCAAACAATGAAACATTAAAGTCCAGCACATTGTCCTATCACAGTGCCATCGACTCCCAAACTACCTCTCCTCCACCACCTACATCTATTCAAAAGTTAGCAGATATAGCGGCTCAGTATGATCAACCCCTTCACTTAGACAGAGCTTCTTCATCCACCAACAAAGTCCCTTCTAATCAACAAAAGATCAGGCACGCTATGATGGCACCTCACAGCAGCGACCCCAACATCAAAATCTGGACAGAGGAGAAGATGACGCCTGAAGGATTAATGGAAAAACACCGTTCGGGCAGGCGGAAATCCATGAGACTCGGATATTCCAGAAAGTAATGTTGCCTACTGGAGAAATTAAAGGGCCTTTTGGCTAATTCCCCATATAGATAACCCCCCGCAAAAAAAGGCGCTGGTTTAAAGTTTTATCCCACTGTAAAATAGAATAAAATAAAAACCCTTACCCGCCATCGCTTTTCCTCTTCACCTTTCTTCTGCTTCATGTCCAACACCATCTTCTTCAACGCACAGCACTCTCCTATAGGTGCTTTTGCTTCGTTCACTCTCGGTGAGCGTGGTGCCAAGGGTGGTTTCGGTCATGAAATCGGTAAGCCTGCTGACCAAAACGTGTACATTGGTTTGGAGAGTGCCACCGAGGAAGGCACATTTGATATGTTGCCCTTCTATGGTGCTCCAGATGGTGTGTTGGCCAACTACACTCCTGAGGAAATTTCCAAGCATTCAAAGGTCACTCGTAACTTCCCTGATGAAGCCATCGAGCGTGAATACCATGCCTGCATCGACACTTGGCGCGCCGGTGACTTGAGTTTCCGCATCACTAGCCCGGTGAAGAAAATCCCTGATCCGGAGACAGCCTCGGAATCGTCTCTCAAGGATACTTTGCTGCCCGTTGTGTTTGTGGATATGACGGTTGACAACAGCGAAAGCGATAAACCTCGTCGTGTGGTGTTTGGTTACGGATCCACTGATTCCCAAAAGGACTTTGCACTTCACTATATGAAGCACAACCACAAGAACATGGACCAACTCAACGGTATTGGATGCGGACGTAACTTTGCTATTGTTTCATGTAATGGACCCAATGACCCTGTGCATGCCCGAGTTGGTTTCGAGATCGAGACGTTGGTCACGTTGCCCGAAGACCCCACGACTTCCCTCGGTGGATGTGCTGCTATGGTGGCCACCATTCCCCCTAATGAAGAGAAGCATATTCGATTTGCCATTTGTTTCCATCGTGAAGGTATGGCTACCAGTGGTATGGATGCTCGCTACCTCTACAACCGTTGGTGGAAGGATGTTCGTGAAGTCGCTCATTACGCTGTGGAGCACCATGATCGCCTGGTCATGGAATGGCAAATGCCCGATAACAATCTTTTGATTGTTCCCCAGCTCAGTGAAGATCAAAAGTTCCAGTTGGTGCATGCTGTTCACAGTTACTACGGTAGCACTCAGCTTTTGGAGTTGGACAACGGAAAGCCTTTCTGGATCGTCAACGAAGGTGAATACCGTATGATCAACACATTGGATTTGGTAGTGGATCATGCTTTCTTTGAGTTGACCATGAACCCTTGGACTGTCAAAAACAACCTCGACGCTTACGCCGACACCCACAGTTACTATGACGAAGTATCTTCTCCCGCTGACCCTACCAAGTTATTGCCCGGTGGTGTTACCTTCACCCACGATATGGGTGTAGCCAATCACATCAGCCCTCCTCAATACTCCGCATACGAACGACCTTTCCTCACTGACTGTTTCAGTTACATGTCTTGTGAAGAATTGACCAACTGGATTCTCACAGCATGTATGTATATCCATATTAGCAAGGACGCTGATTTTGTGTCCAGACGTCTTGGTCTTATCAAGGAGTGCCTTCAAAGTTTGGTCAACCGTGATCACCCCGACCCTGCCCAACGCACTGGTGTCATGAAACTCAACTCGTCCCGAACCAAGGGAGGAGCTGAGATTACCACCTACGACTCGCTCGACACTTCATTGGGTCAAGCCACAGAAAACATCTACATTGCTGGTAAATGCTGGGCTTCTTACCTTGCTTTAGAAAAGGTGCTTAGAGATGCCAATGCCACGGCCGAAGCCGACTTGGCTGCTACCCAGGCTGACTTGTGTGCACGCACCATGGTGTCCGCCGTTGACAAAGAATCCTCCTTGATCCCTGCTATCATCAACACGTCCACCCCCCATGCCGCTCGCATTATTCCCGCCATTGAGGCCCTTGTCTACCCCTTGTTCACTGGTCGCAAGGACGCATTGGCCAAGGACGGAAAGTTTGCTGAATACCTTCAGGTTCTCACTGATCACTACCAAGCTATTCTTAAGCCTGGTATCTGCTTGTTCGAAGACGGTGGCTGGAAACTCTCCTCTACAAGCGATAACTCATGGTTGAGCAAAATTTACTTGTGTCAATTCGTCGCCCGCAATATCCTTCACCAAGATATCGACCCCAAGGCCGATGCTGCCCACGTGGCTTGGCTCACCGCCCCTAAGAACACCTACTGGGCATGGAGTGACCAAATCATTGCCGGTGTCGCGCTCGGTAGCAAGTATTACCCTCGTGGTGTCACCAGCATTTTGTGGTGCACTGAAGATGGCAACTTGTAAATTCTTCGTTGCAGCAATCGTGAGGGAGGCATCTTATATAAATATAAACAATCTGCTCTAAAAAAAATAAAAAAGAAATGCTCATTAATGCAAAACCTGCATATTAAAAACAACAAACGTTGTAATCCATCTTACTTGACAAACGACATAGTGGGTGCTTTTTTTTCTATTCTCACATCCATTCTGGCGTGCCACCTTCCAAATCTATAGCCATGACGTGAAAAAACTTCGCACACGCCCCCAACATCCATGGTTTGCTTCCTTCCCCCGCCAATTGCGTTAAAATATTTACAGACATGTATTTTTGGGTAAAGAAAGAAAAACATCACAACCATTCCTAGTATGAACTTTGTTCGGGGAATGTTGACAAAGAAATACGGGTTGGTAACGAAGGGAATAGACAGAAAAATGTGTACAAAGAGGTATGAAGTGGGAATAACATGGTGGATGGGCAGGCGCATACCATCTACCGCGATCGCTTGGAGAGTAGTTTCGGCTTTTCTACATGCAGCAAGGCGAAAAACCGATTTTGTCTGTGCGCAGCATGGTCGCGCGAAACCATTTTTTCTTCACATACAGGTGAAGCAGGAGGAGTTGGCAATGCGGTGTCTTTGACAACTTGGTCTTCAAACGTGACCATTCGTCTTGGTTTAGGAGAGTGCTTTGGTGATGCAGGGGGAGTGTAGTCTATGTTGTTATTTTTTGTTGCCACTTTGGTAGTCGTGGTCTCCTTGACGCGGTAAATCTCTTGTTCGAACCCTGCGTTTGCACTAAGCCAGGACGTTGAAGCACGGTGGGTGCTGCGACGGTGAGCATTGCCAAGGTCAACTGAAATAGTTCTATGATGGTGTGAAGGTCGTGGTAAAGCGGAGTCACGGGTATTGTAGAGACGTAACAGCTGTTCAACAGCTTCATCCACCCTATCGTCAGCATGAGTTGTAGACCAGTGCATTCTTGTATTTGGCGGCGAGGGTGGTGAAGCTAAGCAATCCATTGTAAAGAAGAATGACAAAGCAAAGAAGAATGACAAATAACATGAAAAAGAATTTTTTATATCCTTATTTTCATTCGGCGCTGTGTGTGGAGGATAATGTTTCAATGGAAGCATGAAGCCCACGCTTTAAGCAGGCAAGCAAGGGCTAAGCCATGTATTTCGCCACACACGCCTTTTTTAACGATTTTCATCACCGGCTTAATAATGTACCTTTTCATATTTTGAAATGGACAATGGAGGTAGTGCTTATTTTGACAAGAACGGGCCGCACATCCCTGGTTACGGGCCGGATTCCGGAATTTTTCAATACCGGTAGGCTTTTTCCAATACAGCAAGACATGTAATCTTTCTGTCAGCAGAGAAAGAGGACGCTGGCTGAGCTTGATTATGGTTTTGACACTCAGGCAAATTTGAGACTGTCAAATCGGTCGTGAACGGCCGTGCAAAAGTGACAAATCGGGCCAAACAACCAACCGATCGAATTATTCCAATATTAATTTTTCCAAAAGGCTTCATAGATCCTAGTTTTATAATTGTGTGAAGTGAAGAATGACTAGAACAATACTGAATGCGTCAACGCATTGGCAGGGTAGATAGCTTACTATAGTTGTTGTTTAAACATGGGGCTATGAAGGGAGGGAAACCAAGAAGAAATAAAAAAAGTATATGTACATTTGCAAAAATAACGACAAAAGGGAACACAATGCTAGAACAAAATGCAAGACGAGAGACCAGAAAAGCAAGCAGTACCAGAGTGGGGGATGTAGTAACGAAGAACGACTTTTTTGTTTTTAGATGACTCTTCAACAGGGCCGTCTCGATGGAGAATTCAATCTTATCGAGGTCTTGGAACCGGAGCCGGGTAAGGGCGAGGGAGTGCAGGCTTGGTAGGTCTATCCGGAGGCATGGTGAAAGCAAATCAAGTGGGAAGATGTTTGGGTAGAGTACGAGTGGTAAAATGCGTTCGCTTTTGTACCTGTGACTCGCTTTAAAGAAAATATGTGAGGTTGACAGGTGAAGTGTGGATGCAATAAGAAAGAGGGGACCTGTATTTAAACAAAAATATCGCCATGGAAGAACGCCTTTATTGCAACCAACTCAAATTACAGTCCCTCCCCCCCAAATCACACTGCTACCACACTTCGATACCATGCGGTTCCCATAACGGGAGTCTCTATTCTTGTGATACGCATGCGTTAGGCTATACTGCCAACAACAAATAAATCCTCCCTCATCTCCCATCGACAGCCTATTGATGAAAAAACAGATCGGCATTCCCCCCTTGGATGTGTTGTGCTGGTAACTATGGATGTGGTCATCCGCCAGTGGGGCTGGCTGCTTATAGTGGAGCCTGCTGGGTTTGTTGGGGCAGATTAGGTTGATACAATGGTGTGGTACCACCGATGGAAAAATTTTACCACCATGCGTAAATTGTTTCTTTTCATCGTCTATATCGAGTGCGCTGGTCATATAGCCCGATACGATTGACAGCTGGATTCAACTTAACAGGTCAGGGTAGCATTGACACCATTGCTGCACAACAGCATGCTTCACCCTACCTTTCAAATCCGGTGGCAATTCGGAGGCATCCATTCCGCGCGCCGTCTGTCTCTCCACCAACTTGTGTTCTGTTCTGCCTTTCCCCCCCCCACACTGAATGTCATCATAATTATGTTTATATTTGATTTTGCTCAGACAAACGCTGTTGTTGGTTTTATTTTCCGCTCCGTGAGCAAAGAGTCATACAATGCGAACTTACCGTGATCTGACTTCACCATTTCCGATAGGAAGCCAGTGATGTCGATAACTGAGCAATGCTTATTTTTTTCCCAGTTTCATACGCTATTTGCTTTATCTTTTTCTCTTCACATTGTTAAGCACGTCGGCCCTTTCTTCACCCATGAATACTGTGAAAACACTGCTGAATAAGCCTACTACGCCTGTTCGCACTCTTGCTGAGCTCAATGCACGGGCTGTACATAACACAAAAACAAGAACCTTGACGCACTCCCAAGGTCGCATTGTCGTACTGGGTTCTGGCTGGGCAGGTCGGTGCACATGAAAACTTTACATTGGATGTCAGAACTCCCCACCTGCTGACATTGCATTTAGGATTCAAGTTTATGAAAGATCTTAGTCGAAAGGATTATGAAGTGACAGTAGTGTCGCCTCGTAATTATTTCGTATTTACGCCATTACTAGCAAGGTAAGTCAGCGTTTAACATGGAAATTCCCGGAAACAAGTTTACGGAACTCCGCTAACTCGACGGCAAACAATTAGTACCTCTGTTGGCACTCTTGAATTCAGGTAAACACACAGTTCGAACCAACCATGGAAGCTCCAATTTAAGAGAAATGCTAGAGCAAATTGAAAAATCTCCTTTGTACACATGATGTGACCAACCAAAATTCTATTAGATGCGCCACGGAACCAGTGCGTGGATATTCTCACAACATCGACTACCACCAAGCGTGGTGTGATAAAATAGGTATGAAGACGCCATAGGTTAAACTAGACCACGTAGTCAGGTTAATCATTATGTTTATAGATATCGAGAACCAAGTAGTGCATTGCACATCCAATCTAGACGATAGTAAGTCAACCTGTTTGTCTCCAAATATTTGGTGGTAACAAGTCGGCTTAACTCGCGTTCCCAGACAAAGGGAGCCCTTTCACCTTGGACTACGATAAGCTCATTATTAGTGTTGGTTCTTATTCGAATACATTTGGAATTCCTGGCGTCAAGGAGCATGGACTCTTTTTGAAAGATATACAAGACGCCAGAAAAATTCGTGCTCGTATCCTCGAATGCAAGTAACCCCTACCAAATATAAACTTTCAATGCGTCGTCCGAGTACTCATACAAATTACAGGCTTTGAGTATGCTGCCCAACCAGGTCTGAGTGACAAAGAAAAATCTGAGAAGCTTCATTTTGCTGTGGTGGGCGGAGGTCCTACTGTAAGTTATCTTACCCTTCCAATGCGTTATCACGATTATCCTCATACGTTTTTTTTTTTTTTTTGGCATGTAAGGGCGTCGAATTCTCTTCGGAATTGCATGATTTTATTTCCGAAGACCTCTCTCGGCTATATCCACAATTAATGGCTCATACACGGATGACCTTGTACGATGTAGCGCCTCAAATTCTTGGAACATTTGACCAAAACCTGTCTGCATATGCGACCCGAAAATTCGCTCGTAGAGGCATCCAAATTAAGGTAATTTGGCTTGATGTCACCGGGAAACTCGATTGCTTCTAATTGTTTTGTTTACGTGTCTAATGCGATTCTCCAATTGATCTTATAATTTTTTCTTCAATAGACTGGCCGACAAGTATTAGAAGTAATGAAAGACCGTCTCATTGTCAAAGACGATGGTGAAGGTATGATTACCTGGAATGCAGTTCGTGTGAACTGAATGGCGTTGATGGTGGAGAACAAGGCAACAATCCATCAGAACCAATCTGTACACTATATATTTCTGACTCCTACTTTCCTTTTCTGCCCTACAGTGCCTTTTGGTATGCTGGTGTGGTCTACGGGCTTGATGCAGAATCCTCTTGTGGAATCATGCCAGAATGCGCTGAAGGATGCGCATAGCCATCGGTAAGGATGACGGGCCCAGAAAATTGGTTTTTCGTTCTGGTAGTACATATGAAATTTCTGTTTTTGATTACTCATTCGCATACCACTCTCGTTCTGTGTTCATTTGCTAGATTGATGACGGATAGCTATCTACGAGTGTTGGCAAAGGACGGTCAAGGCGTGCTACCAAATATGTAAGTATATGTAGATCCCTCCACATCGTAGAATAGCATAGACTCGTTTGGATATATGTAACAATCACCATGTATTCTGCCAATCAACCATACTGACCTTCGTACTGTTAGCTACGCCATGGGGGATTGTGCTACTATCAAGGACCATGACTTGCCTGCAACTGCACAAGTGGCACAACAGAAAGCCCAGTACCTTGGCGATGGTAATATTTGTAGTCATTTAATCACCGTGCGGAAGCGATCGTGTACTAATTTAAATCTATCCTGGCGCTGGATGATCTCTACCTAGTTTTCAACAAGGCTGCTAAAAATGGACTAGACACTGAAGTACCAGAGTTTAGTTTTCACAACAGAGGTTCGATGGCTTATATTGGGTCTTGGGAAGCTGTGGTAGACATGACCCCTGTCCATAAAAAAGCATCAGAGGGAGGACATTTGGCTTGGTTTTTCTGGAGGTAAGCAAAAGAGACTTTTTTTTTTTTGGGAACCGCATCATCTGGCGTTCTCATTGTCAACATGCTTTATTGACACCGATGCTCCGCTATTTTATAATAGATCTGCTTATTTGAGCATGTCCGTCAGTTTCCGTAACAAGATGTTGATCCCAATGTTTTGGTTTCTCACATGGATGTCAGGTAGAGACATTACCAAATTTTAAAGTAGACTTTTCTATTACATTGAGAAAAATCCAGTTCCAATCACATGGACAATAGTATCCAAGATATTCAAAGGGTATAGAACAAATAATATAGAGTCCTTCACGCAATTTGCCTATCAGGTCTTTATCATATTGTGGCGAAATCACTTTGATTTGTCAGTCAGTTAGGAGTTGCCCAAGTTGGTGGGCAATCACATCACGGTCATGTATGTGGCCAAGCTTATTAAATAGTAGCATCTTGATCGACAATGCCTCCTTGACCCCTTCGTGGCACTGTATGGCCGAAAACCCGGTCATAGCTTGATCGCAATTGGTGGTGACCTTATCTGCCAAATTTAGCTGCTCCTCAGAGATACACAGGCCAAACAATGCTTTGCATCGCAATAGGTGCGTATATGCGGTTAAATGCGAGGAGTTTAGACCCAGGACCTTGGGATGGAAATGAAGGATATTCGAAAATTGGACAAAGTGGGACAAATGAATCGTTCATAATCAGCTAAACAATCTTCCAGGCTGGACTCCTCAAAGCAGGCGACACCGTCGTCGTCCACTCACCTTTGGAAAAAGTGCATCAACAATTTGTAAAGCCTTGTGATATTGACCCTGTCGTATGCATATATCAGCCAGCTTCATGCAACACGTACAGTATAATGGTACCGAGTGACATTTTGCGCTCATCTTCAGACATTCTTGTAGGCGTTCAATGGCATCGTCATAGTCTTCAATGTCCTACTCTCCTATCGTTAGCGTCATCGGGCAAAAAGCCTTGGAGGCAAGATCTAACACATACCATAGAGATGTCAGCCTGAGCTATCACAGTCATACAAGAATCAAGCATGAGACCTGTTTCTCTAGTCAAGGGTTCTATTTCCTTCAAAATGTGATTGGCCTATGGCCAATGTTAGACTTCACGCTTTTCTTGCAATATATTATTTCTGTCCGCGCTGTAACACAATTTCAAATTGATTTACCGGTGACAAGTTGTGGCGTAAGCTGGTGGCACGATAATCCCCCCAATTTTCAAACTTGGTTTGTTGATGATTCATTGAAGATGCTTGGGTTATTAGAAGGTCGCTGATCATAGACGGCGCAACTTTTAGCCTAGACAATTATTAGCATCATGTCCGAGCACCACCGGAAATCATAAACAAAAAAGAAAATCAGTGATACGAACGTTGATTTCAGCCCTTGAATATGCTTCAAGCATCTTTTCCACAAAAGCGACAAGTCACTTGAATGAGGGTACTTGATTGCAAATGACTGCAGCGTAGATTGTGCTTCGGAATAGTTTCCGTGACGAGCGTACTACAAAAGGGTTAACATTATCTCCGCGATGGTTTCATGCTCCAAACAGGTACACAAACTCACCTGCAGAGCCAGCATGCAACTTGCTACTTCGATTTGCTCCACTGGAGTGTGTTCACTAGCGATGTCTAAGCTGGCATGAATATAGTAGTCGACGAGTGCACTATTTCCTGTTGTTTCCAAAGGAATTACGACCGATATGGAAAAAGAACGAACACGATTGTCAATTTTTTTTTTCCGATGACATACATCGAGAATAACCCAGAAAAGTTCATACCATGTTCGTTCCAGGTGGAGGCCGACAATAAATTTTTAAGTTCAAAAATACGATCGAGACTATGCATCGTTCCAATGGCTGATGTCGATAAGAGATTTTCGTGAACCGCCGCTGGTGCATCACCCTAAACCACCATTAGTCCCATGTACGCTTCGTCAGTGTCTCTCTCATATGCAACATACCCGTTGAAGCTTGCGTTTGATGTCCCATAGCAAATCCATACTTTTCAAATAGGCTATGTTCTTATTCTTGGCCTTGTCCTCCCCAAAAACAAATTTTTGCTTGACGCCAGTATTGTGTTTAGATTCGATAAATGTCAACCAGCTGAGCGCTTGGCTTAGACAATCCTCATCGTGGTTTTCACGCGCAACATCCAATGCCTCTGTGATAGCCTGTGTAGCAAACAAATAATGAGATGATCGTGTAAACTGATGCATTCCCATATCGAGACAATGTACGTAAGACAAAGAACGCTTTACTAACCGCTAGTGCCTTGTGCTTATGGCCGAAAGTGTGTTCCAGTATGGCAAGGTTTAACAATGCATACTGATAGAGTGGGATTTCTCGATTGAGCAAGCAGTAGTCGAAGAACCGATGTAGATTTTCCAGAGCCCCTTCATATTCACCTATCCGAATGCAACTAAGAAACCTTTTGGTGGATTCAGTATATGCCAATACAATGGAGTGAACAATCATGGTGATCTCACCTAACATGACAGGCTTTAACCAACTCCGGCGCATGTCGCTGTAAAAAGGCTAGTCGATCGTGTAATTCAAACGGTTTGACTTTTGAAGACCCATTTTCTTTTTTTTTGACGGAAGAGCGGAATCACAGAGGTCACACATTGAAACACATTGAAAGCATAATATACAACAGCTGATGGTGCCACTCACTGTCTAGCGCACGGGCTTCCCTGTCCAAAAATCTTGCCATATCGTGATTGGAAACCCAGCCTAACCAGTATCGATGTGAAAGACATAAGGATATATCCTCTTCCAGACTTGTCCTGCAAAATCCAGGACGGAGCGACTCACCTCCAATATAATCCGCATTAATATCTAAAGGGCTATCCAGGGCTGATTTCTTGCCCATCAAGCTGTGTTCATCCGATTGCGACGACATGAACGATGAATAACCGTAACGATAGGAATTAAACATGGCAAACAGTTCGGACGTCCTTTCAAATGATAGCTTGAGATATTCGACTCTGCAACGACGTACAAACATTCCAAACACACTATGGTTATCCTATTTCATGTGCGATTAACGGTATGCATAGTGCTAGAATTTCAATATGGATATGCCACATACCAGCACCATTTTGTCAGGAGTAGTACTCTAGTTGGTTCACCATCATAGGTGAGTAAAAAAAACCCTACACATGCCATGTCCTATAGACACAACACTTACCTCCTCATCTTCATTATCCAATAACAGATCCATCAGCGCTAAAACGTTTTTGAAAATCGATGTATTAGTCCATTGAAAACCCTCATGACACATTCGACAACCACTGTCTTTCCGTTGCCTCCTACATACATCCAATGAGTTGATCTATGCTTTCTGGATTTTGGATTTGACTTATCTGAACAGTGCCAAACACGGTCAGTTTCCACTTATCGTGATTCGATAGACCATCATCCCCACTTACCCTCTCCCGAACAGGATCCACTATAGACTCATTGTTGGCTTCATTTTCTATCGCAGCCAGCTTTGTCATGACTTGACCTAATGTGGGCTCTTTGTACTCATCGAAATGCTTTCAATATGAAGACATAAAGTCAGATAAAACCGGGGATAGGGGATATGACAAAAAACGCGAACCTGTATACTGGTGATTAGGTAGCGGATGATCATATGAACTGCAATGCCGGTATATTCATAATTGCAGAATTTAGTGAGAATGACCAAGAGTACTAGCTTATGGGGAGTCAAGTAATTGGTATGCAAGATTAGTTGTTCTACCATGGCTGGCTGCTCATACGCGTTTGAGTGCGGCAAAACGCGCCGTGCAGTGTTTGCTGGCAGTAAAATTTCAAGCGTGCTGCTGCGAGCCCCAACGCCCAAATGAAAAACCGCCGACAACATTACTTAGCGACAACCGGTACGAAGCTGCACTCATACACACCCTTCGTTTAAACACCATAAAATGAAGCAAATTGAACACATTCATCCATCGTACCATGTTTCGATCATCGTTTGCTTAGCAGAACGAATGTCGCCCGCTAGCACATTATCAGCCCGCCTCATTGGAGCTCATTTCCAAAAGATGAGGTAATGGTTGCGCAGGCAATTTGATTTTACAATACTAATTATACTGTTGCTTCCGACACTTTTGGCAGCCATTTTCCAAAAAAAAAAAGAAAAAACAAAAAAAAACCCTCCACCCAACGTAACAGACTGCCTGCCTGTCCACCACAGTCCTAAAATCCGAGTTCATTCCCACCTTGAACTCACATAGTGCATGTCAAAGGGCTAATCAGTAAAAGAAAAAGCTATCAAAGGATCACAAAGCACCTCATTGCAAAACCGGCATTTCTCATTTTCTGCACTGCAACATCGCTGGGGGGCCCAGTACTTTTTTATTATAAAAACAGAGTCTGACTCAGCAAAGCCTGACCGTTATGTCAAGCCGTTTTCGCGTTAAACGCCTAAAGTTTGATCAATCACTGGCCATCCACCGCCAATGTGATCTACCTGATCTCGAAGATCAGCTCAATGGTCAACGATCAGCACCTCAGGTGGAAACTGGTGTCGATAAAGAGGAAGAAGAGGAAGTAAGTTTCGCTCTCTCCAGGTTTATTTATGGTTGCTTTGTTTATTGAAGCAAAGATTATTTTTTCCCCTCGGAATAATATTTAACACCCCTCCTCTTTAGCATCACTTGCAAGCTGCTATATCTGCGTCTCATGCCGCTTATACGACAGGAGGACAAGATTCGCGTTTGTATATTCCTACGCCAGATGCGTCCCAAACCATTGATTTAAAAGAATTCCATCGATTGTATAAAACTCCTTTCAACAACCCTTCGTCGTTCGTTCGATTCTCCGCCACGGTTGAGGATTCTGTAGGATGTCTTTATATGATGGACGAGGTTGATGACGAGTGGTTGACTACTTTCAACAAATCCCATCCGAAGCTGGTCTTATCTGAAGATGCCTTCGAGTCCATCATGTGGCGAATAGAGTCTGTCAGTCTTGAGAAGGTTCCTTACCTTGAAACTGTAAGTTCCCAATTTTACCAACTATGGCATTTTGTGGCAATGACTTCGTTTATGTTAACGTGGCTCTTTTTGTATTTTTCCAGGATATAACCAATATCCCACCCTATAGTGACTTCGAACCCGAATTCAGCGTTAAACCCTATACCACGTTCAAAGAGCAAGCAAAACATGTTTACGAACATTGGAAGAAGCGGCGTATAATACGCAAAGGCGCTCCTCTTATTCCTTCTGTTAAAATGGACGAAGCATTGCGTGATGATAGTGATCCATATGTCTGCTTTCGACGACGTGAGACCAAGCCAGTTCGCAAAACAAGAAGAACAGACCAACAGTCGATGGAAAAGCTTCGAAAACTGCGTGCAGAATTGGAAACGGCTCGAAGTCTGTTGGAAATGGTGACGAGGAGAGAAAAACTTCGAAAGGAGAGCTTGCTTATGGAACACAGTATCTTCAATCAACGGTGCATGTTACGCGAAATGCAGCAACAATTGGATATCAAGGATGAGCAAGACTTGTTTCCTATCAAAAAGAAGCGGAAGACAGAGGCCTACTCAAGGTACACGCAAGCTCTCAATTTTATACCTTGCTCGATTCACGTGGACATGCAATTTAACAGATATCAATTTTTTTCAATTACAGCACTAGGATCAAAATACCCATTAACAAACTCAAGCGGGACGTTTACGATGCTGATAAAAAATCGGCTGCTCAGGCCGCCATTGATGCAGAAGTGGCTCGTCGACGTGAGCGTAACCTTGGATTTGAAGATGTGACGGATGTATGTGTTATGGCGTTATTTGCAACTCTTTGTGACTTTGACTAACCATCCAACCCATTTCCTCAGTCCGGTTATCAGCCATTTTTGCCTTCTATACCTTCTCAATTCTTTCGCAACGTTGATAAACCTAGTGAATCAACTCCTCGACGTCAACCAACCTATCGTAAGCGTATTGGACGAGGTGGTCGAGTTTTCATTGACCGTCGTGGTTTCCGACCAGCGGAGACGGGTGGAAAGTACAAACCAAGCGTCCGAATGGATATGGAGAGTGACGCAAGTGACGACGAAGACTATATGGTGGATGACATGGACGACAGGTAAATTTAGGAACCTATTTTTTTGGTTCCTCATGGATTCTTTCTGCATTGGTTGGTCTCACCCGCATGACTAAACCATTATTTTTTTGTTTACTAGGTATCTTAGCTACAGCTGCAGTCTTCTCCAAGAGAATGAACTCCGTAACTTGATCACGATACCTTCCCTCAATCCAAATACCATCACAGCTCAACAAGTGGGCATTATCCTCCCTGCCCAGGCATTAAAAACCCAGGCGCCAAATGATCCGACACGTAGCCAACAATCCATTCCTATCAAACGACAGAGCAGTAAGCAACGCTTGACTCCACAACAAGCAGCTCTTGCCATGACAAACGATATGATTGCTGCCAATGTCGCAGCCGCGGTTGGAACCCCGCACCGAGACAAAGCCAGTATGCAGCTTGCCCTTCAACACCTCCAACAACAACATGGAACCACTGACGTCGGAACGCTTCAAAAGAAAATTCTGACTGCCCAATTAGCTCAACAACAGAGACTAAAAGATGATCCAAATGGGCCACAGAAGGAAAATGGAAATAGACGAATGACCATTCAGATGCCTCCAAACTTACTGCAAACAAAAGCCCAAGTCTTATTATCACCCTCATCCAATCCAACCACCCAATCTGGTTCAGTCACGTCTCCTATCGCGGATTCTTTAGAACTGAGGCAGCAACATCTGTTGAAGAAGCCAACCACCTTACCCAATACTCCAGTTGATAGCCCACCGCACCAGCACTCGCAACCAAGTCTCACTAACCAAGTTTGAACTGGTTGAAAGGCAGTGTGCAATTTTTTTTTTTTTTTTTTTCGTTTCTCAACTTACATCACTCCACTCCCAACTTTTGTACAGTCCTTCCCATCATCTTTTTCCTTTCCTTTTTTTGAACTCGTTTTCATGTTGATTTTGTGTATCATAGCCGCCCGCAATAAAAAAGAACCCCCTCCCCCAATTTTATATATACAGAAAACATCGAATCAAATGGCGCTGTAGCACCAATGATAACTCAATTTCTTTTTTGCCATTAGACTCAATAGCCACAAAGTGGTACAAACAATGTATCGTCAGGGTTGGGGCGCAATGGCCTCATGATAATTAGAGGTTTCGGGAACCTGCTAGCAATAGGAACGAGATGATTAGCTAATACTTTGGTATAGCTTGCTGAGACAATATACCCAATGAAAATGGAGAAAAATAATCTACAGCGATTACCAAGAGATTTTCAATGAGCAAATTTCATCCGCTCGTGCAAATCCCTAAATAAAAATTTAAAGCTCTGTGTTTCGCACAGGGTTTTTTTTTTTT